GGTGAACCATTAAATAGTTAATATGTGAATGGTTGGTGGTGAAAGTTGTTGTTCGTAGATTGGATCTAGGAGTTTGGGAACTTTTTTTAGATCGATGACGTGAGATGGTGCGTGTCGTGGGTGCGGTGGTGGTGGTGGTGGTGGTGGTGGTGGTGGTATTTACTTGATGTGGTGTGTGGTGGGTTGACAATGGTGGTGGTAGTCGACGGTGGTGCAGGTGGAGGATCTGGTGATTTTGATTTTCTATGACTAAAAATATAATTTATGACCTTAAAATTTTATAATCTGTGACTAAAAATATAATTCGTGACCAACCATTTTTTTATCCGTGGTCTAAAAATTATATAATCTATGACTGTAAAAAAATCTGTGATCAATTAATTTGAAAATCTGTGACTGTGTGACCTATGAATTTTAATCTGTGTCCAACTAATTTTGAAATCTGTGACCAACGAATTAATTGTGGCCTATAAAATTTTTGAATTGTGACCCTAAATTGTAAATCTGTGACCAGAATGGTCACCGGAATGTTGTCGGAATTGAAGCAGTCGCCTGAACGGTCTTCGAAACGGTCGTCGAAGAAGAGTGGTGGTTGAAATGGTCGTCGGAATAGTCTCCGAAACGGTATGGATGGTGCATGTGGGATTGATTAATTATATTATATTAGAATTAAATATTTATTAATAAATTGATCTATTAATTTATTATTTCATAAATAAAAATAAAAAAAAAATCTGATTTTTGAATTTTCAAACTATAAATCTGATTTTTGAATTGGTGTAAAGTATACACCTTATTTATGAATTTTTCTCTAATAGATAACCTAGAACCCAACTCAACCCAATATAAAATTTGATTTTCTAACCCGAACCCAACCCAATTGAACTAAAAAAACCAACCCAAATCGATTGGTTTAGGTTGGGTTGATCGATTTAACTGGTTCGGGTTGGTTTTTGCCCACCCCTATTCCTAATTAATGAAAATTGCTTTTGATAACTATATCACAATGAATATTTGATGCAATTATTATGTGATATGCTAATTTACAAACGTCATAAGTCTTAATAATAATTAAAAATACTTATTTTAACCTTTTAATCTAAAAATATTATTCACTATCTTTATTTTGTTATTTTCATTTCTAGAGTACCACTTAGGCCATGTTTGATAGACCACATTTTCTGGGGAAGTGAGAAAATATTTTTCACTTTCCACTTTTTTGACCGTTTGATAGGCGAAATTTTCCAC